TGGTGGCTAGTGGCGGCAGAACAACGACATCCACCATGGTCGGCTACCATGGTGGGTTTCCCTTGTTTTCCGGCCAACAAAATACATACACACGTGTCATGATTTGCGGCAGTACACACACATACATGTGGACACGAACACCAATACAGCCTCGATCCACGCTCTTGGAGGAAGATGGTGGCCGGAGGTTGCCATAAAATGACAGCCGCATGGATCGGCGACGGCGACATAGCAACGTAAAAGAGACGGAGAAGTGAAAGGTTTGTGCGGCCTCTAACCGAGAACAACATCAGCGACAGCCACGTGCTTCGTTCTTCCGATCTCCCTAACTGACACAACGTCAACTCATGATTCTCTTCTTCGTAGGTAGCGGGAGTAGCGACAGTGGTGTTCGATGGTTCACGATGGCGACAATGGAGGTGGCGGCGGATGGAGGTTGGAAGGATAAGGGTGGCGGATGCATAATATTAGGGTCAGGGTTTGGGTTTGAATGACAGACAAGGAGGGGGTGACGAGTTTTAGCCCGCCTCCAACTCTTCAACTTAATTCTGTTTTTACACTTTCAGTCATTCCCTCTCAATTCTTTTTCAAATTAAATCCATAATTTAGACTATAGCCCCTTGCTTCCAAAAATCCTTTCAATTCAAGTCCAAAAGTTACCAAACAGCCCCCAGCTTCCACAAATCTATTCATAACTAGTCTGAAAGTTACACTTTAACCCCCCGGTTTCCAGAATTTATAACATTTAACTCCTTGCACTAACACTCTGATTAATTATTACAGATTTAAGGCTAACATAAAAATATAACAATACATCTCGGGGTTTTAGGGCTTATTGTTTATTTATTTATTTGTTTACTTATTTATTTTATTTATTTATTTTAAACGGGATGTTACAAGGACCATCCTTCTTTATGAAATCTTCCAGAAGAAACTTGAATCTAGTCATATGTCTTGAGCAGTCGCTATCTAAATACCAAATATGTTCTTTATCCTGAAACTAAAATATACAGTTAATATACACTGACCCATCTTGCAATGGCTCACTTAAGAAAATATATTATAACAATCATCGGGGAGATAGTTCAATGAGTTTCCCTTTTTGATCAATTTATCATTACGAGTCATGATATTCTCAGTACGAATGGTGTTCATTTCAAAAGTACACTCACTGACTTTGTAAGAAGCATCACCACATCGATAACAGACTTTGATTCCAAAATTCTTTCCTTTAACATTAGATTTTGACTTATTTCAACTGGTGAGTCCGAAGAACTTTGACTCTTTGATTTAAGAGTTCTTGTTTTAGTTCTGGAACAAGGAATGTCATCGATGTCGTACTCAGATGATACCTTGTCATGAGACTCATGATACATTGAAGAGTCATCTGAAGTGGAAGATACTGATTGATCTTTAGAACCAGAGTTGCTAACAGAGCACTGTGGAAAGATGCTAAGAATTCCGTTGACTGAATGAACTTCACCATTGAATATACGAAATTTTAGCAAAATCTAAATGGAAGGAAGAACATACTCACGGTGAGAAGGTTGGTGGGAAGGATCGAGAGCAGATAATTGAGTAACACATTTGGTAATGCCGTTAGAATCAGTGGAGCAATGAGTATCAATGAAAGTTTGATTTATAAAGTACGAGCTCACAAATCTATTCTTAAAGTATTTTTTCTAAACAACCAGCTTTATAGAAGGTTTTTTAGACTCCAACACTTTTGATTAAAGAAACAATACCTTCTATATCGCCTCCAAGAGTTTTCTCAATACTTATATGGTATCTGGGCATTAATAATTTTTGTGACATTAACGTGAGAAGAAGCCCAATTTTTTAAAATATGTTGAATGCGACTAGCATGATCAAAAGTCTTTTCCTTTTCAGAGTGAAGAAGATTATTGGCCAGTAAAATATAAGTGTTTTCCTTTTTTAATAGAGAAAAATATTTTTCGAAAAAGGATTGTTTTTCTTTGAGTTTTTTTTAGCTCAAAACAGAGAGAATATTTTTTTTATTTGAAGTAGATAAATCGAAGCGTAAGTGATAACTATCTCATCTTTTTTGACGTTTTCAACAGAATATAAGTTAACAAGATTTTTTACCTGATGCGCTGAAGTAGTGTCAAATTCATCATAAATTTAATTTTTTTACATCTTTTTTTTTCAAAATTTTGTTTCGAATATGTTTTTTTTTGCTTTATAAAATCATATTTATAAAAATATATATATATACTTTCACATAAAAAAACATTCTTTTTTCTATATAAAAACTTTTTTTCAAACATTTTTGTATGCGAAATACGTATTTATAAAATTAGGTATTTATTAAATGCATAGATATATTCAAATTCGATTTTTTATAAAAAATATATACAAACACATATTTTATAAAAAGATATACAAACATCTATTTTATAATAAATGCATAAATACGATTTTATAAAAAAAATGTATACAAACACGTATTTTATAAAAATTTATACAAGCACGTTTTTATAAAAAAAAAAAAATATACAAACATCTATTTCATAGTAAAATATTTGTATATATTTATGTATTTATATGCATAGACATAGGTGTTTGTATTATTATTATTATTATTATTATTATTATTATTATTATATATGTGTGTGTGTATTTTTTATAGACACTTATTTTATGATAAATGCATTTGTATATATAAATATGTTTTTATAAAAAAAATGTATACAAAGACGTGTTATATATATATATATATATATATATATATATATATATATATATATATATATATATATATAAAGACGTTTTTATTAATAAATATATATACAAACACCTATTTTATAGTGAACATATTTGTATATATTTATGTTTTATATGCACACAAATAGGTTTTGTGTATAATTTTTTTTGATAGAAACGTATTTTTATACATTTTTTTATAAACACTTATTTTATAATAAATACATTTGTATATAAACACGTTTTTATTAAAAAAATAAATGCATACAAAAACATGGTTTACAAAAATATATATATATAAACACATTTTTATAAAAAGAAATGTATAAAACAGCTCTTTGTATGCGTATAAATACATAAATATATAGAAATACGTTTACATATTTTTATAATTAGGTATTTCGCATACCAAAGTGTTTCAAATAGTTTTAATATAGAAAGAAGAAGTTTTTTTTTATGTGAATATATATATATATATATATATATATATATATATATATATATATATATATATGTATACAAATCAAAACCTCGGATTCAAAACAAAATTTTGAAAAAAAATGCAAAAAAACTAAATTTAGGATGAATTCGTAACAAATTTTTAAAATCGGGGCCAAAAGTGTAAAATTCAAACCAAATTTGAAATAAAATTTTAAATCTAGGCCAAAAGTGTAATTTTTGAAAATTAGATTACCTATTGACCCGGTAAAATGGTTAAAATCAATACAATTTCTGGTTTTTGTGACTTACCTTACTAAAAGAAGATAATGAATAAATTGATTATGAGGTCTTAACATAAGGACTTTTCGGTAAATTTTGTTTAAAAAAATTAAGCCTTAAAAAAGTAGGTTAACATAAACACAAAAGACTACATCAAACACTACTACAAACAAATAGGAATAAACATAAAATCTCAATTATATAAGGTTTTGAATGCTGTGATTTGATGGCAACGTAAAACCTTAAGTTTTTACTAGCCGATGCGAACTATGTCGTTTGTTAGGCATGACTTCAACCGACATTTTAATTAATAATTCTATATATTTTTTCTACTATTATATATATATATATATATATATATATATATATATATATATAAATAAGTGATATTTTATTAAAGCGTGACGTCAAATACAAACATTGGTATCATAATGAATTTTTATTATAAGTAAATATAATACGGTTAGTACTTATGAACTTTTTATTATAATTAAATATAATACGGTTAGTACTTTGTCGTATATACAATGCAATACAATGCGATTATTTAACAAAGCTAAATAGAAAATATAGTATGGTTATATGATAGGGAAATCTCCGGAAAAGTCTCAATATTTTACCCTAATTTACGAAAATGTCCCAAACTAAAATTTGTTTATGAAAAAGTCCCAATTACCGGTAAAAACGACGATTTGGCCATATTTTCCCGATTTACCGGTTTCATTAATTATCAGGTTTTAATAAAGTCTCATTATTTTACCATAATTTAAGAATAAGTCCCAAGTTATGGTAAAATAATGAGACTTTAATGAAAATTTTGGTAAAATAATGGGACTTTAATGAAACCGGGTAAGTATTGAAACCGATAAACCGGGAAAAAAAAGGGGTCAAATCGTCATTTTTTCCTGTAATCGGGACGTTTTCGTAAACCAATTTTAGTTTGGTACTTTTTCGTAAATTACGGTGAAATATTAGGACTTTTCCAAAGATTTCCCTATATGATATAAAAACCATTTGCATTCTCTGAATTTATGATAAATACACATATTCGCTTGAAACCATATCCCTTTACGAAAGACATAACACGATTTTGGTAGGTTAGCCAATACGAAAATGACATAACCTAATTTTTTGAACTTTATATATAGTCTAGGTTAATGAGCCGCAAAACAATAGATGGGTCGTGAAATAACAACCCATAACCCCAAACTGGAGGCGAGTTACGCCCGAAAAGAGTAAAACTACAATTTAGTAGCGATCGGTACCGTCACATATATTTAAATTCGGTATGGTATGGTATGGTACTGTTCAGTATCGGTATCGGTACCGGTTCTGATACGGTATCAATACGGGATCAGAATTTAATACTAACTGCTCATCACATTAAAATGTTAGAAAATAATTCGGACAAAAAAATTAAAGAATAAACCGTTAAAAAGGGATTTTTTTTTGACAATGTGAATTAGACTGTTTTTGGTTTTCATTTCTTTAATTCTAGAAAGGGCATAGACATAATTAAACTCCAAAAAACGGGTATAATCGTAATTGACAATCATAACCAGATCTGGAAAGTGGGAAAATAGTGTTTCACTTGAAATTAAACAAAGTGTTCTTTCGCCACTCGTTGATAGAACTGGAAATCAAACTCCCAAAAACCAGAATTCAATCAACGAAGATGATGATGATGACAATGATCGTCACTAGAATCATTTTCTTGCTCCTGTTTTTGTCACACGCAATCGCTTATACACGGTTTAATCTTTCTCATTTCATCTACCCGAAAATCAGCGACGAATTTCGCCCTCAACCATCTCTTTTCCTAAAGGTAAAACACTCGATTCATGTTTAACTCGAATGTGTTTCTTATAGTGTAACTGTCGTCAATTTTTGATTTGCAACTTTATTTCTGATTCACAAATTCGAAATAAAAGTCGTTTAAAAAAATCTTCTGTCAATTGACGAATTGAACAAAGTGTTTACAAATAGTTCACCTCAATTGATAATTAACTTCGTTGCTCTTTATTATAGGATATTCTAGGAGAAATATCTGCTACTGAACACTGGAAGTTGGAAGACTTTAGGGTTTCGAATCTGGAAATAGAGAAGGTTAAGTTTGGGAATTTGCAGAGATACGAGATTGAGTTTCTGTTAAGGAACAAGAAAGATTATATATTCAATTCGGTGGATAATGTTTCTTCATGGAAGAGATTTAAAGACAAAGAAGGGGATTTTGAGGTTATGGCTAATGAAGTGAGTTCAAAAGCAGTTCTTGGTTCAATTCAAATAGAAGGGCCTGTTGAACTACTAGTTTCTGGAGACAATGAAATGTCTTTACTACTACCAGTATGCTCCTTTCTCCAATCCTCTATCCTAATCCCTAATTCCTTCTAAACTTTCTTGTTTTTAATTTTCTTTGAGACTTTGTGTCCATATGTGTAGATTGTTATACCTATACCTCTCTTTTCAATGTGTTTCAGTGGAACACATCACATTCTGGTCTGAAGAGGATACTTGTTGGAGAAGACATAACTGTAGAAGTGAAGAATGCAAATGAAGTCTCTCTTTTTAAAACATCAAATCTTGGACAACAAGCAGATTCAGAACATAATCTTATTGATCATATCTTTCCATACATGACATGTACACCATTACTTCCAGTAAGAATTTCCGGATCTTCATCTGTAGTTGCCTTCAGGACTCAAAATCCAGGTGCACACATCAGATCAAATCTTCTATCCAATCATGTTATTGAATTACTACCAGATAAATGTTACTCCACACATACATATAAGAAGCAACCATGTCCTATTAAATCATTGAGGTTGAGGATAAGATTGTTGGAAACAGTATTGAAGAGCTTATTAGGTGATAAAATTGGTTATGGGGCTAAACTTAAAGCAAAGATTGAAGCATCAACTGCTTTTCGTTTTGTGATTGAAATAGAAAGGAAAATTAGGATGAATGATACTCGGTGGAAAACTATGGAAGAATGGCGAACAAAGCCTAGTGTTGAGCATGTATGGTTTGATGTATTGGCAAGAATTGAAAATAGGAGGTTAATGCCAATAGTTGTTAAGAAAATGAAGCCTTTTGTTGGAGTAGATTCATCTGCATGGAGTAATTTGATGGCAAATATGTCTTTTACTAAGTTGTCATCTGTTCTTGTAGCTCCTGAGGCTCTTACACTTGATGTGAATTGGTAGGAAAATTGTATTATGGAATAACTTTCATCCTCAGATTATATGTATTGAGTTACTTGTAAAAAAGGTTTATAGTTTGAAGTTTGTAAATCGAGTTCAAATACATTGCAAGTGAGAGAGAAGAAAATGAACATTTGAGTAATGAAGAGCCAAAAGGGTACATTTTTCATTGCAGATGCTTTGCCTCAATGAATGTTGGAATATAGTGCGACTCTTAATTGTTAATCAATAGAAGCATGCATTATGTTTTGAACTCTTGATTTTGATTACTCAACCAATTGATGGAATGTGCATTGGACATTGGACATTAAGGCACTTTATTTATTTATTTATTATTTTTTTAAGAAGTAAAACGTGTGCAGTATGTGGACCACATCTGCAGAAGAAGAAGTGGACCAAAAGTGTCATTACGCGATAAAGCTCTTATATTACTGTAAAACCATAACAAAATTTTGAACTATATATGCAATAAGGGAAAATCACATTGTAGACCTATAATGTTTTGGGTTTTGGTCAAATCAGTCCCTTAAGTTATTTGTGTGCTTTATGATGGAATAATCTTTAAGTGACCTCTCATTTTTAGTCCCTATAACCTACCATTACCGGTTTCATATACTAGGTGGCTTTTAATTAATTTAAAAAGTTAAATTAAATCTGTGTGTGTGTGTGTGTGTGTGTGTGTGGGGGGGGGGGGGGGGGAAGGGAAACCTAGATGAAGTTCTAAACCCAAAATCGATTTTTGTTTTTGGATTTCTAGTTTTCAATATGAAAATTTGTGTTTTTAAGTTCAAGTTTTCTATTTACCTTTTTAAGGACGATATGTTGTCGGGACACAAACACACACACACACAAAGATCTTGGTTCTTAGTTCTTGATTTCTTGAACTCTCTATGTAACATCCAAATTTTCAGGTCCAAAAATTTCTTTTTAATTAACCAACACATAAAAACATTCATAAGAAAATACTGCGAAAACACATCATCTCATAAAACAATGTATCATGTCTGAAAACCCAAGCCATAGAATAATAACATATCAGAGTACAATCCTAGAAAACTCCATGCGGAAACCATTTGTGTGTGTGTGATGCGATGCTACGCCGCCGACTCCTTCCCCTTAGACGAAGAGGTACCTGAAACCAAAACCGAAACCGTAAGCACAAAGCTTAGTGAGTTCCCCCATCATACCACATACCATACAATATCATCGGTATCTCTCAACCGGTAATCATCATCGGTATCTTTCAACCGGTAACCAACATCGGTATCTTTCAACCGGTAATCGTCATCGGTATCTTTCAACCGGTAACCATCATCGGTATCTTTCAACCGGTAACCATCATCGGTATCTTTCAACCGGTAACTGTCATCAGTATCTTTCAACCGGTAACTGTCATCGGTATCTTTCAACCGGTAACTGGGGACTATTCCACCCCCTACCACTAGCATACAACAGCAAGGTACAATCATACAGTCAGGCATATCCGGTTCCTGACCTACCCCACGGCCCTAAGGGCCGCTGTTAGGGATCCTAATCCCTACTATACACGTAACATATCATGCAGATAATACTCGTGACCAAAGCACATAACCAAACCAAGATAATTATCACAAAGACAATCATCTTACAAATACTCCTCTTTGGTGGGCCGACATTGTGGCCTTAGACCCACCCCTACTAGAAGGTAACTCACCTCGATGTCGTGCAGTGTTTGAATTATCCTCAGCGCACAAGTCGACTCCCCTCGACTCCTCGATCCCTACACGGCGACCTTCAAGTCAACATACAGCCAGTACAACCCTAAACAGGGTCGGTCCAAGTTTAGTCAAAGTCAACTTCAAGTTGACCCGACTCGCCGAGTTGGGCCGTCAACTCGCCGAGTCCCTCACCCTTTACTCGTCCTTATCCACGACCCGACTCGTCGAGTTGGGCCGTCAACTCGACGAGTTCCTCCCTCACATGAACATCGCATGAAACTCATCCGACTCGCCGAGTTGATGAACAACTCGTCGAGTTCACCTTCATCTGATGAACAAGTTCTGTCCTCGACTCGCCGAGTTGATGAACAACTCGTCGACTTCATCTTCATCCTTAAGAAGATTGCCTTGGACTCGCCGAGTCTGTTCTAGCACTCGTCGAGTCCCATGAACTCCAGGTCTAAAATCACGTCCAATACATTGGGTAACTCTTCCTGTCTGATTACAACCCTTCTAACACTCAAATGGGTTCCTTTGACTCTCAACAGATATGAGGCTCAAAGCCTCGGACTCGCCGAGTCAGTCATGTCCACACTCTAAATCCATGAATTCTGATGTACAACCTTTGATCAAAAGATAGATCCAAGCTTCTATAATCGATCTAGCACGTAAAGTTACAAACTTTACGTGCTTGCATGGGACTTTGAGCTCAAAAAGACATAAAACAAGCTCTTAAGATGCATGGGGCCTTTCATGGGTGCAAAAGCAGTCCCCAACTGCCTTGTGACTCCTTTAATGACGTGATTCCGAAGCTCTAACCCCCAACCATGTTTGCAATCATGGTTGGCCATCAAAAGTGGCTTATAAAAGCCCTAAATCTCCCCAAAAAGGGATCTAACAAATGAAAGAGCAAGGTTACAGCTTTTTACCTTCAATGAACTGTAGAAGGTGCATAAACTCGGGTTCCCTTGGTCTTTACTTGCTTCCTCAAGCCTTTCTCCTTCCTTCTTAAGACCACAAGCACCAAAATCCACCAACAAGGCTTAGATTGCTTCAATAACGGCTAGGGTTTCAATGAGAGGTGTTCTGGGAGCATAAGGGACGTTGTGGCCGACATAACATTGTTTAAATAGGGTGCAAACCCTCGGATTAGGGTTTTTGTCCAGTCAGAGTCTACTCGTTGAGTCCAGGACCCGACTCGACGAGTCCATCACTTAAATCCTGCGCGTCATCCCGCTTTTACTCGGCGAGTTGGTCCTTCAACTCGCCGAGTCCAAGGCCAAAAATGCAAAAATACTTAAATAAAAATACATACCAAGAACCAGGTGCTACACTCTAGCTGATTGAAACGAGAAAAAGAAAGGGAGATGGAGCTGAGACATCTTTTGAAATATGAAGTTCTTGAGGGGAGATGATGGTGGTTGGGTGATTTCTGGGTTTTGTTGCACCTCAAATACAAGATCTGATGAGCATCACGGGTGATGACGAGAAAACTCTACATCACACAAACCACCACCGTACACCACCTATCAACCACCAAATCGACCTCCCATCTCCACCCCTAGTCTTCGTCTCGCCATCAAGGACCCATGAATTTCATAAGCCCCTTTTGCTGTTATTATGTCTTTATTTCCTCTGTTTTCTCGTTTCAATTCGAATTCTGTTGTAGGTCGGATAAGGTTGCACTGAAGGTGGGTGGCCGAAAAAATAGGGGGAGGTTAGGGTTTAATGCAATGGGTGGATTAGAAACGGAAACTGATGAAGAACAAGAAATGATTTTGAAGGAAATTGATCGATTGAGGGTTCTTGACGAGTAGGTGATTGATTAATTAGATTCATATCTTTGAAACAAAGCAGATTATATGAAACCATTCAAAAAAGGGAGAAACGGAATATATATATATATATATATATATATATATATATATATATATATATGGGTCTGTATGTTGAAGATGAATAATATGATCATGAAATCAAGCCAACATCACCGATTGGCTTCAATTTATATTATTTCCATGTGTTATGATTAAGCAGAAGGCGTGGTGTGTAGATTCAGAAGTGTGTTTTAATCTTAGTGTGTGTGTGAGGAAGAACAAGATGAGAGAGAGAGAGAGATGTCATTTCCTTTATAATAAATAAATAATTAGACGAATTAAGTGAACTGACTTCGTTTTGTCAAAAATAACGTACTCGAGCCGACAAAACCAACATTGTTCCCTTAAAAGACACGAAAATAACTTAAGGCTGAACGAGCAAATGTACAAAACATCGTAAGCCTATAGTGTCATTTTCTCATGCAATAATGACAATAACATAATATGATTCTTAATATTAACAAATTAGCTTGTTATTAATTTAAAGATTTCTTTCAATAAAAGAGAGTGAATAACATACTTTCTATTTGGGAATTCAACTCAATTTTGTGATTATTCCCATTTCATCTAACCACTTTTATGACTTAGGTTATTAGAACCCTAATTTCACTCCTAAGCAAGCAATTTAGTGCCTTATCACCATTAACTCTTGAATTATAGAGTTAACTCATTCTAATATAACAATAGCATTTTCCACCAAAATATGAGTCCCATAAGGTATCCCTTGTTCTGCTTTAGCATTACTCCAAAATACATTGGGGTTTCCTTTACTCTCCCGTTACCTCATTACCCCAAAACCCCCTAATTTTACCAAACCCTAATTAAGATTCAATCCACAAAGTTATAATATAGAAATCATACCTTGATTTTTGATTGTTAAATTAACATAAAGATGTTACATTCTTTCAAAATCCGACCTTAGCACTTCAAAAAAAAAAATCACACATTAAGGAAACGCTAAAGTCAAATTGATTTTGGAATGTTAATTTAACACCGATTGATTACACCAAGTCGCCACATCATTATCTTTGATGCATCTATTAGATTAAATGTTTCATCAATCATCATAAACAAAAATACAAAACTCTATCCTCTTCATAGTTTATTCGTTACTTTGTAATACACATGAAAAAAAAATATACAAAAGTATAGATACTATGAGAATGGGTACTTATACGTATACGGTATACAATATATCTTTACCTACACATTAGACATCTCAATCTTTCTTTCACTTATGTCATCACCATTGCTACCTTCACCAATTTGCTTCACACTCACACTCATACTCACGCCCACAGTCTTATATTTATACCAATTTGCACAAATCAAATAAACCCCTAAATTCACTAAACTTAAAACCGCTAACAACCAATAAAAATAATTCAATTTATCTCTATTCAAATTATTACTCCCTAACCACCCACCACTCACTTTATTCACCACCTCCACCACAATCGAGCTCAAGTAATATCCAAAAGCCAATGAACACCATGAAATAGATGTCCCAAGTGACTTCATCCCCGATGAACTCTCGTCATAAAAAAATTCCAACAACCCCACCAATGTAAACATATCCGCCACCCCAAAAATCGCGTATTGAAACCCTAGCCAGAACACCGTTATCGGTAGCGGGCCCGGTGAATCCACCATGTTGTTATCAATCGCGACGCTTTTCCGGTGGGTTTCCACGATTCCGGCGACTACCATTGAGATAATGGAGAGGATTAATCCGATTCCGATTCTTTGAAGGTGTCTGATTCCGGTTGGAATCCCGGTTACCCTTCTTACCAATGGGACAAAAACCCGATCGTAAATTGGAATTAGGATAAACATGAAGAGAAGCGGGATTACTGGAATTGAGGGACCCGGGACTTTGAAACCGAGGAGGTTTCTGTCCATGGTTGTGCTTTGTTGAATGGTGAAAGTTTGAAGTTGGGCTAAACATGTGTTCATGAAGATTGTGCTTAGTATAATTGGGAGCATTCGGATTAGAATTTTTGTTTCTTCGATTTGTGTTACTGTGCAAAGTTTCCATGACCCTGATTGTTGTTGTTCGGATGCATCGAGTAATGTTGTAATAACTGCTGCCTTGTCAAGACATCTAAACATGAAAATGAGGTATTAGAAAATAGAAACCATAGGATGAAAATAAACATAAATAGGAATGTTTGGATTTTAAAAATATAATAGCACACCTGAATTGATTTGTTCTTTGAAGAATATCAGTTGATAATGACGCTCCCGCTTCTTTGTCATGAATCTCATGCAACTCCTCTGTGGTCTCTGGTATTGGTATATTGCGGTTTCTAATAGCCACCACAAATACCTGAATAATAGAGATATTGTTAATCCATGTGATGATCTATGACTATTAGGGTTTTAGGTCACGTATAGGATGAGACTGGACAAGCTTTCTAGGGCTGTTTTCGATGATGTAGATGATAAGGACATTTACGTCTTTTGCACAGACAAGAGATCGAGAGCGAGTCCCTCCGACCTTGTTCCACCCTCTTAAGGCGACAAAAATTGTGATTTTTGTCCGATTGACATCAATCAGGTCTAGTCCAATGGACGCCAAACACAGTACAACTTGTTATGTCATTTGCATTGTAACAAATGGAGCCGAAGGCTCCGTTTGTTATGCAGGACTAAACATGATCGCCTTGTACTGTGTTTGGTGTGCATTGGACCAGGACATAGATTGATCTCAACGGGATAAAAATTTCAATTTTTTGTCTCCTTAAAAGGGTGGAACAAGGTCGGACAGGGACTTGCTCTCGATCTCTTGTCTGTGGAAAAGACGTAAATGCCCTTATCATCTACATCATCGAAAATAGCACTAGAAAGTTTGTCCGGTCCTAATATATACTTATGTTATTATACCTTCAAAATTCGAAGAATTGGGCTTTCTCCTTTGGGCACATAACTCCGATACATGGATTTGCCCATGAGTAAGAAAAGAGCTGCTACTAAAACTGCTATGGAGCACACAGTGAACCCCCAATCCCAACCTTGGTTTGAACTAATCCAGACAACAAAAGTGACACCAAATATAGCTCCAGTTGTGACACTAAACAAAAACCAGTTGAAAAAGCTTGCAAGTGATTCCGCCTCTTTAGGGTCTCTTTCATCAAATTGGTCAGCTCCCAAAGAAGGCAGAGCACCTTTAATCCCACTGCTCCCAAATGCAATTAAATACAGACCTGTAAACAATATTGCTTCTTGACCACTTCCTGCTGGCTCACATTCACTCCCTAGGCTAGCGTTACAGGGGATCGGTCTTAACTCTTTGGAAGTGTGCTTGAACTGCTAGAAGTGCATAGCCCTGAAAGTTAATGAATTAAACAGATTATTTATGGAATTGCATTTTCTTTTTTCTATATTTTAATGTAACGTACCACGACTTCAAAAGATGCGAATAAAATGCAAGTCTTGAATCTTGATAAGTAGGTGTCGGATATGAAACCTCCAAAGAGTGATAGGAGAAATGCAGTGCCCATGAAGTTTGTGAGTGTTGTTGCTGACTTGGTCAAACTGAAGTTCATATAACCATAAAAGTAAGTCACCAAGCTGACAGCCATTGATAAGAATGCCATGTTCTCAAGCCCTATCATAGCTGCATAAATTGTCAAGCAAACAACTGTTAGGAATAGACGCAAATTCAACTAAAAAGGAAAAAAAATCTTAGGCTTCCGTTTGTTATGTAGGAGTTACGATAGGACATGGCAGAGCAGATTGTATTGTGTTTGGCGTGCATTGGACTGAGACCGAGACAGATGTCTGATGTCAGTCAGACAAAAATTGTATTTTTTTTTGTTCCAACCAAAAAGGTGGAACATGGTAGGATAGAGACTCGCTTTCGATCTCTCGTATGTGGAAAAGACGTGAATGCCCTTGTCCTCATCATCGAAAATATCCCTAGAAAGCTTTTCTAGTCCCATTCTTGTTCCCTGTAACAAACGTAGCCTTAGGCTGCGTTTGTTAGATGTGACGTGGCAGGACCAGACTAGGCAAGCTTTCTAAAGCTATTTCCAGTGATGAGGACAAGGGTATTTATGTCTTTTGCATAGACGAAAGATCCATAGCGAGTCTTTGTCCTACTTGTTTCACTTTTTTCATTGCGACAAAAAAAAAAAAATACAATTTTTGTCTCATTAACATCGGTCTTGGTCTCGGTTCAATGCACGCCAAAAACAGTATAACATGTCATGTCATACTTAACAAATGGGCCTTATGGCTATTAGATGCCAACATTTTTATTAGCATAAAAAAATACCATATACAAACATAGCAGCTCTCGTGCCACCAAGCCTTTTTTGGTGTCTAGGTTGTATTTTGACATGTCCACCAATCCCCTGCAAATTGTCATACAATGTGAGTATAAATTGGCATGTTAATATAAAAAAAAAATTAGTATGCAAGTGTTACCATTTTATGAAGATCGATCTTCTGTTCTTCAAAGTTTGGTGTGAATGTGTTTATGACATCTTTCATGGTTGTTTTTATAAGGGAGGAAGTTTGTCTTGTGACTCCAAGGAATCAAACAGCATCTTTAAGGTTTGGAGAAACTTGTCTCTCTATCAAATAAACAAAAGGAATGTCAAAACGTATTTGTTCTTTTTATATCTTTATTTCATATATAATTAATAATTATATGCAAGATTCCAAACTCTAGTAGGAACATGTCTACATCGGTTTGATTGAAACTGTTTTATTGATTTGTTTAACCCATGTTGTCATTACCTTTTTTTTGGCGATACCACAAGATTATACATGTTTTGCTGTTTAAGATCATAAGATGTCTTAATCTCTGTCCATTTTATAATCGGGTTAAATTCAGGTATAGCAATGTACTTTTATTGTGTTTATCATCCTATATCTGATTTGATAAATACCGGACCTCTCTCTTCCTTTGTAAGAACTAAACATGAAGTTAAGGTGCTTATGGATTTTGCAAATCTTGATGTTTTGGAAACTCTGATTAAAATTTAGGATGACAAGTTGACTTTTGTGGTCAAACATATATTTTTGATTTAAAAAATTAATATTTCAAGTTGCATTTATAATATTTGTTGGTTGTTGTCTTGGATTAAACAAATCTATATATATATATATATATATATATATATATATATATATATATATATATATATATATATATATATATATATATAACATATTAGTTATATCTTGAATTTTAAGAGGTACAAGATACAAAGTTTTTTGTACAAATCAATTATGCATAACAAAACCATTAATACTTGCCAAAATTTTGAAGACTTGAGTTAAGGAAGGTTATTAAAAATTAATTTGGAGCAAAATAACAATTTTAAAATATTAAATCCATCAATATAAGTTAATTTACATTTCTTAAACTAGACACCGGTAATAATTAATTTACATTAAATTTATAAACATACAATATAAATATAAGTTCTAAACATAAATATTTTAATTAATAGTGGTAATTTTTATTATTACATAATAACTAATAACAAAATCTAATAATTATTTTTCTCGTAAGAAAACTATTCGATAAAAAAAAGCTATTTATCGCCGATGCTTTGCACGGGCACACATCTAGTATATATATATATATATATATATATATATATATATATATATATATATATATATATATATATATATATCTATATATATAATATATATATATATATATATAGACACACAAAAAGAATCAAGTTCCAGAGCGAACTCATATATCGGGAGGGAACCAACGAACCGCAATAACAACCATCAGATGATTCAATTGATCATCCGGTTAGATTAAAAGTATTCTAATTGTAAACAGAGACACATGCATTTTACGTATCCTGATACAAATCGTTGATTTATTGTGTGGTTTCTACTGATATTGCGAACACAAGAAATTTGTAATACATATAATCAATTACATATATTTAATTTCAAATCATTAAAAAATAAGCTAAATTTGTTAACAGTTACAATGCTTGAAGTAACCGCTAACACTTTTTGTGATGATTCTGCGATTAAAGGTTTTTTATCTTTATTTGTTCATGATTTTAATAATCGTATGAACCACGTAACATAATATTCAACTACAGAGATTGGATCAAGTAATGATGATAATATTTCATTGTATTCTAATGAACTTGCATTTTTTATGTAAAAAGTATTTGTACAATACAAAGACATATACTATGCACTAAACAACTGCACAATTACACTTATGTTACGCTTATGTTATATACAAAGTTTTAACGGAATAATCTAAAACACCAAATAAGATTTTGAGAATCAACTTACATTTCTAAGTTGTATGTCAAGTATACTTCTATTTTCATATAGTTTTTCTTAATTTTTTAGTTCATATTAAGCGAGCAATGAACACATGTGCAATTAATTGCAAATAATTAATTGAGTGTGAAGTCTATGTTTCCTTCAAACTTATAAAAGGCTGAAAGGAGTCTGATTGCAAATAATTAATTGAGTGTGAAGTTTATGTTTCCTTCAAACTTATAAAAAGTTGAAAGGAGTCTGAAATAATAATAAAAAAAAATTAGGAAGTTCACATGTAATAAGGATAATGAGGATTACCAATTTATCCTTATCATCTTATCATATCTTATTTTTGTAACATTCGAAATGCATGTATTTACCTTTTAACCCTTGGAATGGAATTTATTTTGCAAAGAAGGTCCCTACGTACGTTCAGGCATATATATGTGTACGCTTAGTGTACTAGGGTGGTTTGGTCGCGGACTTGCACCACGTACGCGGGGCGTACCAAGGCGTATGCGGGGCGTACGTGGCTTAAGACAAAACCCTGATTTTTGGAGCATGAACCCTATTTAAGCGCACTTATACCTTTTAGACCTAACCTTAAACAGCCTCCATTGCCTCTTATCGTCCCTAAACCCTAGTTACAAGAGAGTGTGATTCTTGAGCTTAAAAGTGACTTTGGTGACCATTTTAGTGTGTTTTCAAGAAAGAGAAGGTGGTGATCAAGTCTTGGACGTGGTTGAGCTTCTAGATCCCGCATCTACTTCATATTGGGGAACCTTTGGAGGTAAAAGGTCTACAACTTGCTTATCCTTTTGCTAGTTTGAGTTAGGGTTTGGTAATAAGTCCATTTTTGGTCCATGAATCCTCTCTTGTGAGTTTGAGCAACTCCAGAGGTTAGAAATGTTAGATCTGAATTCCCTTGGCATGTTAGAAGCATAAAAATGATAGCTTTATGGTTGTTTTGGCACCATGCATGAATTTAAGGTCTGAAAGGGAGTCTTAATGGATAAAATGAGGTGTTGGGTTCCCATATGGCATGCAAAGGCATAAAGTTGCCAACTTTATGCCCTAAGACCTCTTTGAGGACCAAGATCTGGAATTGGACCAAGTGACTTCATGGAATAAGCACTTAATGGCTTTTGTGTAAAAATTGCTTATACGCTGGGCGTACTATCTTGTACGCTAAGCATACAGAGGTTGTACGCTGAGCGTATGCTTCCAGTGGGCTTTGGACTTTCGTTGAGCCTTTGAGCCATTTGGGCCCTACTTAGCCTTGGGCCTGGATCTATAAGAGTATTTGGGCCTTTGACTTGTTATTGGGCCATAGGTTGCATGGTTGGGCCTATTGGTCCATAGGGTGCATGGTTGGGCCTATTGGGCCTTGTAGCCCATTATTGTTGTTGGACCTAGGATGTTAGGCCCATTTACGAAGAATGACTTATGGGGCCTTAATGGAGGAGTTTGGACTTAGGGTTTTGCCCTATGCCTTGAGTTTGTGATTTAATTCTAATTAAGTTCACTTGTGTATATTTAGTGTGATATTTTTGGACCGTTAGCCGAGCAATATTTTTTATCAGCAGTCTGAGGTGATTCTTCTCACTATATCAATGGGTCGAAGGCACCAATGCCGACCCGTTATCTGTTATGTGGCTTAGTAGTTGTTATGCATTAACTGTATGAAGACCCTGGGGGTAGCCCGTGGCACTTATGTGAAGACCATAGGGGTAGCCCATGAAACTTGGATATCAGACCATGGGGGTAGCCCATGACATCCCAGGTAAAGACCATGAGGGTAGCCCATGGCACTTGGATATCAGACCATAAGGGTAGCCCATGGCATTCCAGGTAAAGACCATGGGGGTAGCCCATGGAAACTTTATTTATGATGCATGGTATTCTGTGGTTGTATGTCATGTGATATTTTGGGAACTCACTAAGCTTTAGCTTATAGTTTAATTTGGGTATTTTCAGGTACTTCCGGTACTAAGGGGAAGGGCTCGGCTTGATGGTGCAACATTCACTCTCCAACACTTTTCGCGTTCATTTATTTTAAGACTCTGATATTTGATTTGATATGATCTAATGGATTTTGGGGAAAAAATTATGATTGTATTTCTATTTTCATAATTGAAATTTTTATCTGGTTTTTGGGCTGTTACATTTTTTATAACATGTTTGCATAAGATGTAATGTGTTCTGTAGCACCAGAGTCAATCAACCAAGTTTTGTTTGAAATATTTTACCAGCCATGTTAACGGTAGGGTGTGTGGTTTTTATGGAGTCATCACTATTAGAAAAATGGCGAATCAACTGTGCATATTGTTCAGGTGTTAACCCAGAAATAAGACTTGTCTTTGTCTGAACATGTGTTGCTTTCGGATTGCCCTTCATAATCTTGTTGCCATCACATTTCGTTTTGGGCCACCATTCTGGGTAACCAATAATCTTGAAACACCCTTCTTTGACATGTCATGTTCTTCCATAATGAATGCATTGCTGATTTTTAGTTGCTCGATTTGCCTTGTTGTTTTGACCCTGCACTTTGTTTTGTTGATTAACTTGTTCCCTCTCAGACTTTTTTCCCGAGAATCGGTTGGTGTGTAATGCAGCCGCCTCAGGAATGTGTTTCTTCTCAGCCGAAATTATTCTTTGTCGCTCGGCTTCAGACACCATGTGGTATGCAGATCCCAATGATGGCATGGGTTTCATGGTTAGGATCTGTGTTTTGACAGTGGAATATTCATCCTCCAATCCCATCAAAAACTCATACACATTTTTCTCTTTCTTTTGCTTCAGCTAACCTTTTTCCAATACCACATGTACATGTTCCGCACACACACTTTGGAGTAGGAGATACAGAGTGTATCTCGTCCCATAACCCTCGCAACTTCGTGTAATACGCCGAAACAGAAGCTCTTTCTTTGATGAATTAAGGTTAGTTCACGTTTCAGCTCGTATGCCCTAGGGGCGCTTTCCTTTCCAAAACGTTCTTGAAGATCTTGCTAGATTTCTCGATCAGTCTCAACACACTTAATATTGTTTCTGATATCCTTCTCCATGGATGTAACGAGCCATCCCTTTATCATCGCATAACATCGTTTCCAAGCTTGCTTATCCTTTTCATCTTTTGGTATCTCAATGCTTCCATTAACAAAGCCAATTTTGTTCTTTGCAAAGAGGAAAGTTTCCATATCTTGTACCCAATCTCCATAGTTTGAATCTGTGAG